TTGATAAGAACATTGGAGAAAATCTCGTATATGAAAAAAATTTGGACTTTAACTCACCTATATTTTTCCAGATTATTTGTCAGATTCTCAATATTGACCACTACTAGTTGAAAATTTGGAATGGGTCCAAAAATATATATATTTTTTCATGGGGCAACCGTTTACGCCCCGCCCCGTCAACTCGTCGGGGTGGGGTAAATTTTCATCCCTATTATGAGTTCTAATTCTCAACTAATAATAGTTATCTCAATTCATGCACTTGTGATGATCGATAATTCTACTTTTATTTATTATTCTTTCCCAAAATATAATAAACCTATGATTACCACGAGACGATCTTATTCCTAGTCTGGATTCATATGGCAAACACATATTGACATTTAGGACTATCACACATGATCGCACACGCCACAAAATATTATTTCTAACATTTATTGCCCATATGTTACAAAAATAGTGTTCTATCTACCATGAGTTTTCCAATACTATGATAATTAACTTATTGTCCTAATGGTGTGCAAACATTAAAAAAATATAAATATGCATGTCAATGGAATCACAATGCAAGAATCAAGGTAAAAACATAAGATCTTGAATTAAAAACTAAGAATCAATTAGTTTTGTCATCCATCCAATACAAAAGAGTTTAGCCTATCATATTAATGTAAGAATTTCAAAGAGAATAAAAGAAAGTCATCACCCGAATAATTAAAGATGAAGAAAATTTGGAGAACTTCAATTTGTGCCTTCAAATCTGAATCCAAGCAACGAATTCTTTGATCTTCAATGTAAATTCTATCAAAAGTTGGCTTATTAAACACTCAGTTTCAAGAAAATCAACCCTCAACTTAAGATCTTAACCTAATTTCATCTTATTGGTTTCCGTCAATCCACACAAAACTTAACACACATGGAATCCATATTTATCTCTATGTCTTCCCGCAACAGCTCAATCACCCCTAAATTATCCTAAAATTGGTTTAAGGATGTGCAACATAAAGGATGTTCAGGTTAAGCATCTTAGATCCTTTAACTTCCACTTATGAATCAAAATTTTCTTTATAATGCAAAACATAATTCTCGTGCTTATCAATATCCAGTTTCCCATGAATAAGCATAAATTAACTTAACACATAATTCATTCATAATTTATAGCCCAACTCTATGCTCCAATATATTCCTCATTGTTTGTAGATTATCCTATCCACACAAGCATGAGACGAAAAATAGTAAAAAAACTAAAAAGTAGATTTTTTTTAAAAAAAAAAATTTCACACATGTGTGCAAGGATTTAAAATAAAAGACTCAATGAACTCCCCACCCCAAACTTGATACAAACATTGTCTTCAATGTTAAAGTAAGAATCCAAGTAACAGACAAATGGTAAGAACAAAGGAAGGCTGAGAAACTCCCCTGGTATTAGTTGGTGGATGGTGGCCAATGAGTGGAACAAGAACAAAGGTCTCTCATTGTAACACACATCTGATCGATCTGTTTATGCATGTCTTCTGATGTGCTTCACATGACCTCCTCTCTTGTATTCATGTCCTCCAACCTGTTCTGTATGGGTTCATTTCTGATGTGTATGTCTTCAATTTGTCCTGTGCATCTATCTAAACATCTCCCCATGAGGTCCTGTTCCCTACGCAGAGTTAGCAAATCACTCGAAAGCCTGTCGATATCTCGTTCCATACCCTATATCTTGATATTTCCAGCATGCTTCCTATCATTTCTCGCTTGCTTCCGGGCCTGTGAAGCTATCATCATTTGCTCTATATGCTACAATGTCCTATTTGTCTTTGCCAGAGCAGTAAACAACTACTTCATAACTTGTAAATTCGATGCTGGCTCTAGCCCTATGGGAGGTAGAATGTAATCATCAGCCTCTCGGTCCCCTTGGTCCTGTTACTGTCGTCGTCGCTATTTTTGCTGTTTGATGGATTACCGTGTTTTAGTAGCTAACGACACATTAATAGGATCTGTCGCTCTAGTTGGTAACTCCCCTGGTAGAAATATTATCCTCGATACATGACATATGCCAGTGATGAGGCTAGGAAAGATCAAGGTATGTCTGGGGTCAAGATCTGTTGCCACAAAGCATATTAGATCATAAAGCAAAGCTCCCAAATCAATCTTAAAACCTCGTGCAAGATGATACAATCGAATGGCCTTGGGCTAACTAATAGTGGTGTGGTGAGAGCTTAAGTCAATGTTGTGACTGATAAATTTATACAAGATCACAAGGGAGTCAGTTAGATGTCATTATTCAAATTCATTATCTCCAAGTGGCCACGCATCATCTCTCCTATATAACATCTACGAAACAACTGACATATCTGGATCCATTGGCATAAGGATGATATTATCTCTAGTCAATCCATAGTAAGCCTCAATCACTTTTGGAGAAAACACCACTTGTCCCAAACCCATGTTTGATGCATATGTTCAGTCTCCGGAGTGTCTAAATCTTCATTGAAGTTGGCATAGAATTCTTGCACCAAAGTGGGATAGACCTTCTGAGGTTCACTTGTAATTTTCTCCCAACCTGCTAAACAAATTAATCGGGTTAATTCAAACCTCCCAAAGTCTTCCACAATTACTTTTCGTTCTGGCCAAACTTTCCATCTTGAGATCACGTTAGAAAATCTAGCTTTATGCTCAATGGTTAGAAACCGTCTCATACCCCTGTCGTCAAGTCGTGTTCGAGCTGTTCTAGAAGATCCTGCGACCTTTTCCTTGCCTTTGGAGATGGAGGGAGTATTCTTTCATTGGGGGGGCCATATCTGTCAACACATTGTAAAACCACAATTAGTAACATGAGATATGGTAAAACACTTATGAAGGAGCAACATAGATTGGTGTTTTGTAGCCCTCATTTGTCATGAATTCCATGCATGAGGATGAATGCAACAATATAGAAGCATTAAAAATGCATGTCTAACATGTCATATAAAAATCAAGCCAAAATTCAAACAAAACTGTTGTTGAGACAATTCATCAAACACCTTATGTGCATAGGGTTGTGACATGGGTAAAACTTCAATTTTTCTGTGTAAAATCAGACATTCCACAAGCAATTCATCAACCACCATATAACAATGCCATACTCCAACAAAACTCGAAATTCTCTAACAAAATGCAATAGTGTAAAAATAATTTGAAATTGTAAAGAGTTAGCAAGCTTACCCCGATTTCACAAGATTTTGGGGATAAAAGTGTGAAATAGTTGATGAATGTTGGTGGAGAGTGTTGAATCTTCAATACCACTTGACTGAGGGAGTGAATTTGGTGAAAAAAAATTCAAAATATAGAAGAAAAAAATTGAGAGAGGTGACGTCGTTCATATCAATTGTGTGTATTAAGTGGTTGGGTGGGTTGGGAACCTAATCCAAGTAGCGCGCGGCTTTGTTAATCGCGTGCTCGCAGCTAGGGTGTTTTAGCCCCACATGTTGAAATTCATGCCAATCCCGAAAGGTTCGTTTTCGTTTCAAAATTAACTCAAGCACTTAAGTTCCGCAGCCAACCTAATACTTGTACTACTATGATCTAGATATAAGTGGGTGATGCAGGATCAACAAATTTATACAAATCATGCTTATGTCCTAAAAACACACTTTTTGAACTTCTTATGTCCTCAAAATCTCGTATTTACCTCAATATTTGTGACCTCTCCCAACGCATGCAAGTGAAGTTTGAACTCCCCCAAACTTATACAAAAGAAATATGAACTTGTGTGACTTATGCATTGACTCAACTATTTAAGTAAATGAATAATCTATCTAAACACACCAAAGAAATAAAACGAAAACAAAAATCCTAATCTAATACATCAAAGCTGAATAAATAAAAGGGAAGAGAATTGGGTTGCCTCCCAATAAGCGCTATTTTTTATAGTCTATAGCTCAACTTTGTTGCTCAGGCTACTCTGCACTATTAAGAGGTATGGTTGTCTTCTCACTAGAGTAGTCACCTCCCTGATAAGCTTTCAACCTTTGTCTATTTACTTTAAACCTTCTATGTTGATCCCAAGACACCATCTCCACAGCACCATGTGGAGACACGGCTACCACTGTGAAAGGACCCAACCACCTAGACTTTAGCTTTCCCGGGAAGAGTTTGAGGCGTAATTGAACATCAACACTTACTGACCAACCTGAAACTCATTTTTCTTTATATGCTTGTCGTGCCATCTCTTGGTCTTTTCCTTGTAATTCTTTGCATTCTCATACGAATCCAAACGAAACTCATTGAGCTCATGAAGTTGTAGAACCCTTTTTCTCTTGCTGCCCTCATATTAAAATTGAGCAAGTGTGTTACCAATATGCCATATGCTCTAACTCAACCGACAGATGACAAGCCTTTCCAAATACCAATTGATATGGAGACATGCCAATTGGAGTCTTAAATGCTGTTCTATAAGCCCAAAGTGCATCTTCCAATTTCTTAGGATAGTCTTTACATGATGCATTGACCGTAACTTCAAGAATTTTCTTTAACTCCCTGTTGAAGATCTCCACCTACCCACTAGTCCGAGGATGATATGGAATAGAAACACAGTGTTTCACCTCATACTTGGCCAATAGTGATGCAAAAAGGCTGTTACAAAAATACTTCCCACCATCACTATTAATTGCCCTCGGGGTGCCATACCTTGTGAAAATGTTCTTCTTCAGAAAATGAGTCACTACTTGACCTCCATTGGCTGGCAAAGCAACTACCTCAACCCATTTAGACACGTAATCCATTGCCACCAGTATATACTGTTGCCCGTATGATGGATAAAAAGGTCTCATGAAGTCAATGTCCCAAACGTCAAATATTTCAACTTCCAAAATGCTGTTTAAGGGCATCTCATTCTTCCTTGAGATGTTTCCAATCCTCTGTCACTTATCACAATGTTTTACCATATAACGGGCATCTTTGAACAACGTAGGGCAATAAAAACTCGATTGTAGCACTTTGCTAATGTCTTAGTTGCTGCGAAGTGGCCTCCAAACTCGATTCCAATACTTGTTGTTGTTGTTGTACTTCTAGCACACGATAGCATATGATATGATCTGGACCCTTTCTGTAAAGAATTGGATCATCCCAAAAGTTGTGTTTTATGTCACTGAAGAATTTCTTCTTCTGGTGCCTTGAGTAGTCCAGTAGTATGATGGAACGGGCCAAATAATTGACGTAATCGGTGTACCATGGTCTTGTGATGATCTGAAAAAGTGTCCCATCTTTTTTGTAGGGTGTAACTCATGTGACTCGAGACGAGAAAGGCGATCTGTCACAGACAAGAAAGGTGATCTGCCACAACATTCTCGATCTCCTTTTTATCTCTGATCTCTAAATTGAATTCTTGCAATAGGAGTATCAATCGAATAAGTCTCAGCTTTGCATCCTTCTTGCTCATTAGATATTTCAAGGCTGAGTGATCTATGTAGGCAATCACTTTTAACCCAATCAAAGATTAAATAAATTTGTCAACTACGAACACCACTGTTGAAAGCTCTTTCTCTGAATTCGCATAATTCATTTGAGCCTCATCCAGAGTCTTACTGGCATAGTGAATAACATAGGAAAGCTTCTCCTTGTGTTAACCTAACACTGTCCCCACTGCGTGATCACTAGTATCACACATAAGCTCAAACGAATAATTCCAATCTAAAGAAGTCAACACTAGAGCAAATACCAATTTTTCCTTTAAGGTGTTGAAAGCAGTCAAGCACTCCTCAGAAAAGTAAAATGGAGCCCATTTTTCCAATAGATTGCATAACGGCTTCGAGATTTTGAAAAAGTCTTTGATGAAGCGATGGTAAAAACCCAGTGTAACCCAAGAAACTTCTGACTCCCTTCACTGTTATAGCGGTGGTAGTTTTTCAATAACTTGTATATTCACTTAAACCACCTCAATTCCCCGTGCTGATATTAAATGCCCCAACACAATCCCGTCCTGAACCATGAAATGACATTTTTCCCAATTTAATACCAGGTTTGTGTCTTCACACCGCTGCTACACTTTTCCCAAATATTCGAGGCACTCCTTAAATGACT